TTTTTTTTTTTTTTTTGCACTGCATATTCTTAGTGCTTTCCTTTTCTTTTTTTTTAAATTGAAGTGGTTTTTTAAAAACTACAGTTCACTGGTGTGTAAAGCCAAAAGACTCCACGGTCTCTGCATGGTGACTCAGGAGGTAGAAAATCTGAGTCCGAGTCTAGCTTTGCCGCCAGCTGCATTGCTTTGTGCAACTGGGCAAGCGGCGCAACTTTTCTTGAACTGTTTCCCTACCTGTGAAGCTACACCCAAGCTCCAAGGATCCCTTGTGCTACTCCTTTCTTCCCGAACAGCCACTGAGATAAGAACACAGGGCCTTTCATTGAGCTCTATCCTTTTTTAGTTTTTGAAAGATCTCTGTCCAGTCACTAAATTGCCCAGGCAGGTGTGAACTTGTGATCCTCCTGCCTCAGCCTTCAAGAATGCTGGGATTGCCAGGCACAGTGGTGGAGCACGCCTGTCATCCCAGTACTTGGCAGGCTGAGGCAGGAGGATCTCCATGAGTTCAAGGCCACCCTGTCTCAAAAAAGAAAAAAAGAAAAAGATGCTGGGATGACAGGTGTGCACTACATCTGGCTCCCGCTGAGTTCTAAATATTCAAGTATGGTGCATTTTGTTACCTACACCAGGATTTCTCTCATGCTTGGCCACGAACTCTTCTCCTGGCCTGGTCTCTGATGGGTTTTGTCCCTGTTCAGGTTTGAGGCAATTAAGGGTTCTAAAGGGAACAACCCAGGCCAGGGCAGCTGCTCCTGAAGCCAGGGCTGGGGGAGATCAGGGAGGCAGGTGGATACATGGCTATGACAGGTACACAGGCAAAAGTACCTGGACACAGCAGAGAGCAGGCTGCATAGCAGAGGTGTCCCCAGAGCATGCACAGGAACAAACCCAACACACACAGGATGGGCTGAAGGGCAGCTGCCTGAGGCTTTCATGGTGTCTGCATTTGTTCTGTTCCTCTCCCTCCGTGTGTGTGTGTGTGTGTGTGTGTGTGTGTGTGTGTGTGTGTGTTCCACTGGGGATGGAACCTGGGGCCTTCGCACTGAGCTAAACCCTCAGCCCTTTTCATTTTGAAACAGGATCTTACAAAATCACTAAGTTCCTTAGTCTGGGCTTGAATTTGTAACCCTCCTGCCTCACCTACCGGAATGCAGGCCTAGTGGACATGCTCTGCCACGCTCATGCTCAGCATGAATTTCTTTGTTTAGGGTTGGTCCCCCATGCAGAGAGGATGAGGCTCTGTCCAGTTCGAAGCCCTGTCCCCAAAGCCACCTCCCGAAATGAAAGCAGACCACATCCTCTGCCTAGGACCCTCCCCCGAGGATTCGTGTCCCATGGAAAATCCAGAAGGCCGGCAGCGATTGTGCTGAATGGATGTCAGGCTGTCATTAAGGAAGATGAGAATGTTCTGGAGACGGGCCATGGTTGTACAAACAAGTGAACGTGCTCCATGCTATTGAATTATTTTGTCCTTGTGGCACCCAACAGTCAACCCAACATTCTGGGAGGCTGAGGCAGGAGGATCGAAAGTTCAAGCCCAGCCAGAGTAACCTAATGGCTTTAGTGAGATCCTATCTCAAAATAAAAAACAATTCTGCCCATAGATCTCCCCCTGCTCCTCAGCCATCCTATCTGGGCTCACAGGACCCCTCTTCATGGAAGGCCTCCCTAGCTACCCTCCTAAACCTCTCCCCCAAGTACAGTTCTCCTCCTCCTCCTTTTGCAGTGCTGGGGATGGCGCTGAGGCCCTCACACATGCTAGGCATGCTAAGCAAGTGCTCACCACTGAACTATATTCCCAGTCCTTTCCATTTCATTTTCAACCAGGGTATTGCTACATTGCCCAGGCTGACCTTGAACTTAAGATCTTTTGCTTCAAGGGCCGGGATGTAGCTCAGTGCTGCCACACCTGCCTGGGAAGTCCAAGGTCCTGAGTTTGAGTCCTGATACTCCCTCCAAAAGATCCTCCTTCCTCAGCCTCCCAAGTCTCCAGGATGACATACAGGGAGCCCCACCTCAGATTTCTGTTGCGTGTTCTGACACTGCCAGGGGTCTCCAAGCTGCCCCCAACTGTACCGGGCCACCCCCAGGGCACAGAGCAGGTCCAGAGCCGTGGGGGCCGGTGGTTGTAAACAGTTTTATTGATGGGGAGGGGGCCGGCGGAGGTGAACTCCAGAGAGGGTGGAGACTCAGCCGGCCACGTGGCATGCATGGTCAGCTGGAGGTGGGGGGGTCACAAGGGGTCGGGTGGCATGGGACTCTCTGACCACCCTGGGGCCGTATTTACAGGGGGCCCTGCCAGCCTCCACAGCCCCCAGACCCCCGAGCCCTTCGGAGCTGCTGCCCATGTGACCTGTGGACAGGTTCCGGTTCCCCTGGACCCAGTCGTCCCTGCTCCCCTGGCAGAAGCCGGGCCCAAACTTCTGACCGGCACCTCGGAAGCCCCGGCGTTGGCTCAGCCGACCCGGGGCCCCTGGGGGTCCCCAAGCTCACGCTTAAGACACACGCACTGCACGGGTGGCCCTGCACACACACTCGCGCCTCCCTCCCCGGGCCTTGCACACGAACACGGCATGCACACGCGCACACGCCCACACACGCCCGGGGCCCGGCCTGGGGAGGGACCTTTTGGAGGAGGTAGGGGGACTTGGGTCTGCAGCTGTGGCCCCCTAATCCCCATCCCACGCCAGAGCCACCCCCTCCGGCCGCCACCCCAAACTGGAGTTGTGCAATTCCTTAGAAAAACTGCAAAAGAAACCAAAAATGTCTACGCAGAAGGTCAACCTCAAATTCACAGCAGATCCCTCCGGCCGCCCAACCAACCCGGTGGTCTCAGGGTCCTGCGCCCCAGCTGCCTGCCGCCGCGGGGAGCAGTGCTCTTGTGCTTCCGTGTGGCCGAGGGGGGTCCCCGAAAGGCCGGGGTGGGGGGGCTTGAGCACCCAGCGGAGCCGGCCGGGGCCTGGCATCCTGGCGCCGTCTCCTGCTCCTGGTTCCTGTGGCTGGCACTGCCAAGGCATGGGGTCCCCGGCTTAGGGCACCGGGGGCGCAGTCCTGTCCCCTGCCCCATAGGGGAGGAGGTGCGCCGAGTCTGAGCCGGGCCGCGCGTGGCGCACGCGGTGCTTGTCCCCGGGCCGCGCCTCGCCGCTGTTGAACGTGTGCGTGCGGCGCAGCGCCGAGGCCGGGGTCGCGTGGGGACCGGGTCTCCGCAGGCTGCCCGTCGTCGGGGGCGGGCTCCAGGGCCGCGGCAGGCTGTCGCCGCCACAGCCCGGGTCCGAGGGGCCCGTGGGCGCGGACACTACGCGCCGGCGGTCCGGGCTGGCGTGCGGGGTGAGCGGGAAGTCGGCGTGCGAGGCGCGCGAGGGCCGGGACGCACAGAGTCGGCCGTCTGGGGCGGTGTCGCCCGGCAGGGGCGGCTGCTCAGGGGCGCGGGCCGGCGCCAGCAGCAGCAGCGAGGACGACGCGGACGCGGACAACAGCGCGTGGTGCCCGTGGTCCCAGGCGCGGGGGCCCGGGCCGTGCACCTGCGGATGCGGCGTGGGCAGGCGCTTCTGCGGCAGCGGCGTCTGCTCGGGCGTGGGCAGCAGCCCCGAGTCCAGGTCGTGCGGGCCGCCCTGCAGCAGCGTGGCCTTGGCCCAGCCGTTCTGCATCAGGGGCGCCAGCAGGGCCTCGGGGGGACCCCCGGCCCCGCCCAAGGCCCCGCCGCGGCCCCCGGGCCCGGCCCCACGCCGCTCGCCCAGGCGGCTCACGCTCAGCACCGCCTCGCCGCCGCCGTGCGCCAGGATGGACTCCTTGTCCTTGCGCCGCGCCAGCTCCCGCCTCTCGCGCAGGCCCACGAACCAGCCCACGCTGAAGCCAGACACCACGGCGCCCACCACGAAGGCCGCCACTGACGAGGTCACCAGCAGGTTCACCGACACCAGCCCAGCACGCTCCTCCGAGAGGCTGGCGCGCAGGAGGCCTGGGGGCGGGAGGGGGAGTGCCCGGGGCCTGGTGAGGGTCCCCCGTGCCGCCTATCTGCCTTTTACCTTTGCAGAGCTAGGAATGGAACCCAGCGTCTCCTGCATGCGGGGCCAGCGCTCACCACTGACCACGGGGGACCCCCTGGCAGTACTGGGGATTTAACTCAGGCCCTTCGAACTAATCTACACCCTCAGCTCTCTCTGTAGTTTTTGTTTTGAGACAGAGTCCCGCTAAGTGGCCCATGCTGGCTTCAAATGTGCAATCCTCCTGCCTCAGCCTCCCAAACAGCTGGGATGACACGCTTTGCCGGGCCCCCTCTGTACCTTAGGGAGCCTGTCAATCTCCCCGTCTTTGGGCATGGGTCCTCAGCCTCTGCCTGGCTTCTCGGCACTTGTCCATCTGCCTTGGAGCTCTCTGCCTGTGTCCCTCTCTGGGGCTCTGTTTCCTGGCGTCCATCTTTCCCCCCCACCCATCCAAGAAGCCGCTGCCCCTGCCCTCTGAAAGCCCTGATGGAAGCCATTCCCCCACTCTCCCTTGGGCATAGGTGGCAGAGGACAAAAGACCCTCCAGGACCAGGGCTGAAGGTCCTGGAGTCCTCTTCTGGACCTACCTGTACAGTCCCCTAAGCCTGAGGTGCTGGCACCAGACACGTCCTGCTCAAAGGCGGCTCTACATAGAGGGAAGGGGGACAGAGGGTCAGCAGAGCCTCTCAAACAGCAGGGGCAGGGGGCGGGTGCAGATGGCCCCTCCCACCTCCCTACCTGGTCCCTGGGCTGAGGAAGATGCAGGAGCCGTCAGGGGTCCAGCCGCAGTAGGGGTCCTGGCTGCCGATGCAGTTCCTGTAAGGGACCAGGGGACAGTCACTCAGCAGCCAGGACCTGCCTCACCGCCGGGCTGCTCGTACCCCAACTCACAGATAAGGAAACTGAGGCTCAGGAACCCTGCTTTGGCCCAGGCAGCAGAGCTAGGATGCAGCCCCAGCAGGCGGGCCCAGGCTTTGTCCTTGACAAAGGACGGCAGGGTCGTGATCAAAACCACGTTGGCAGCTGCTGCTCCGTGCTGAGAGCTCACGCTGCGCCCAGAGGAGCCCAGTGCATGGCATCTGAATTTCCTCTCACTTGGAGACCAGGAAACAGGTTCTACCCCGGCGCTCCACACTCTCATGCCCTCGCTGCTCACCTTTCTGTCCTCTTTGCAGCAGCCACCAGAGGGCGCCCGTGAGCACCAAGTCAAGTCCTTCCCCCTGTCCTCAGCCCTAAAAGGCTCCCACCTCTCCCTAGAGTCAAAGCCCAAGTCCTCCCTGCAGCCCTGCACAGCCGACCCATACCCTCCCTGCTTCTTCTGCTCCCGTTCTTCCTCTCTGTCCCTCTGCTCCAGCCACAGGGGCTCCTTGCTGCTCCTGCACGTCCCTGGGCTCCGTCCTGCCCCAGGGCCTTTACACAGACCCAGTCTATCATGGAATCTGCACGCCCTCCTCCCTTCTCCCCATACTCATCCCCTCTGTCCCTGCTCACACTCAGCCTGGGTGGGGGACTCACTTCATGCATCCTGAGTACTGCTGGCAGCGGGCCACAGGCACGCGGACCACGCATCGGGGAAAGGCCGCCAGCAGGCCGCCCGAGGCCGCGTCCAGCTCCAGGCTCAGCAGCCGCTGCCCTGTCTCACCGCCACTACCAGGTCGTCCGCACCTGGGCAAGGAAAGTGTCCCAGCAGGCTCAGGGTGACTGATCCGTGACTGCCCCCCAGTTCCTTCTTCTCGCCACTGCCTCAATTCACCTGTCGGGCCGGTAGGTCTCAAACTCCTCCAGGAAGACACTGGGCCCAGAGGTGCCCGCTACACTGGCGTTGGGCCGGACGAGGAACTTGAGGACAGTGCCCACCTCGGAGCCCAGGAAGACCACGGTCTGGTTGCCCCAGGGCCCGGCGCCCACATCCACGGCCACTCGGGTGAGCTGGTGCCTGCCGGCCGGGTGGGACTGGGCGTCAGGCGGGTACTGCAGGTTCCAGGGCCATGAGGGCAGGGGTGTGGTTTTATGGGTGCGCGTGGCCTCGCCCATGCACGTGCACGTGACTGTCCCAGATGTGCGCATGCGCAGACAGTCTTGTGCCGCGGGGCGGGGGGGGGGCACGCGGAGACCCACCCGCCCCCTTCCTGGCGCCACCAGTGCTGACCGCATGAGCGTGCGCACGATCCAGGGCGCATGGCCCAGCGAGGGCACTGCCTCGTCCATCAGCGGGTGCGTCTTGATAAAGTTGAGGATCTCATCGGGCAGAGCGCTCGACGCGTTGTACTGAGAGCCCGGGGCTGCACAGCACCCTGGCCTGGGAAGGGAGAAAGGGCGGGCTCAGGGTGGAGGGACTTGGGCAGCCTCAGTTTCCCCGTCTCCAAAACGGATACGGCCTGGCAGTCCCAGCCCGATGTCCTGGTGCCCATGATCCCTTTGGGGACCTTCGCAGGGCGGTGTGGGGCTCTCACCGGGGCCGTGGCACCTGGTCCTCCGGCACCGGGGTCCAGATGGACTCGGGTGACTTCTGCTCGCGGAAGCGGCCCTCGAACACAGCGGCCACGTGCCTCATGTCGAAGGCGCACACAGCCGAGCCCGGGATGCTGGGGGTGCAGACGGAGCTCTGGTGAGCCTGGCGGGGGCGGCACCCCGGGAAGCGGGACGGAGCCTGTCCTCTGCTGTTGGATGGGTCCTCAGCCCCCGGTGTTCACCGAGCCCACCTCTGCACGTCCCGCACAACCTCAGCTGGAGCCTTCTCAGCATCCCCAAGACCACCCACTGACCTTCCCGGACATCCACTGCCCAGAGGCCGTGCTTGTCTTGTCAATTTATTCCCCTGAGAACTTACTTTCTTTTTTTTTTGGTACCAGGGATCAGACTTGGGACCTTGCACTTTCGAGACAGGCGCGGTGCCACTGTCTTTTTTTTTTTTTTTTTT